AAATATGTAGCATGTATAAATTGTACAATAAAACAATGGGTATATAAGAGGTAGTCTTTAAGAATTGCAGAGGTTGCAGCAGCTATTGTTGTTGTTTAAGAGTGACGTTAGGTCTTTTTTCCTAATGTTTTCTTTATAAGATTCAATATTCGAGGAGCCTTTCAATTTACTATCTAGTTTCGACCATATATGAGGTCCTTGATATCTAATAGAATCGCTTTTGCAGCACCGTTAAGACCCATTTAGTGTTATGGCAGCCAAAAAACAAATTTAACGGTTAAAAAAACTGCATTTCTTGTGCAAATTGTGGTAGTTAAATGGATTTATCAACCATGCACCTGTCATGGGCTTAGGAATAAACTTGTATACTCCAAAATGTTATAAAGTCCATTTTCTGTCCGTCATGCACTCAATCCGCCAGGTCTAGTTTTCGCGGACTCTCTACTTGCTCTGTTTACAGGTTTCGTGAAATGATGACAAGAACCTGCTGTACTAGATTGTGTAAACATAACTTTCTTGTTTCTCTGGATTGACTTAAATGTACTTCGACAGNAAGAGTGACGTTAGGTCTTTTTTCCTAATGTTTTCTTTATAAGATTCAATATTCGAGGAGCCTTTCAATTAACTATCTAGTTTCGACCATATATGAGGTCCTTGATATCTAATAGAATCGCTTTTGCAGCACCATTAAGACCCATTTAGCGTTATGGCAGCCAAAAAACAGATTCAACGGTTAATAACTGCATTTCTTGTGAAAATTGTGGTAGTTAAATGGATTTATTAACCATGCACCTGTCATGGGCTTAGGAGTAAACTTGTATACTCGAAAATGTTATAAAGTCCATTTTCTGTCCGTCATGCACTCACTCCGCCAGGTCTAGTTTTGGCGGACTCTCTACTTGCTCTGTTTACAGGTTTCGTGAAATGATGACAAGAACCTGCTGTACTAGATTGTGTAAACATAACTTTCTTGTTTCTCTGGATTGACTTAAATGTACTTCGACAGTCAACACAAACTTATGTACCACGCTTTATCCACAGAGAGAGATGATTTCCAGAAGATGAAAAGGGAAATACGAACCATCAGCGAAAAGTTGAATGAAGGTAGAGATTTAATTAGTTGTTTTAAGAGGTAATCTAGTGGGAGGCGCGGTGGCCGTCTTCGGATCGAGCGGTCTGAGTTCCAACCCTGCCCGGGGACGTTGCGTTGTGTTCTTGGCAAGGCACTTTACACTTGCAGTGCCTCTCTCCACCCAGGTGTATAAATGGGTACCGCCGAACTTAATGCTGGGTGTAACCCTGCAATGGACTAGCATCCCATCCAGGGGGGAGTAGAAATACTCCTAGTCGCTTCATGGTACAGAAACCGGGATAAGCTCCGACCTGATGGGATACTTGGCTCGTATGCAGACTTAACCTTTACGGGAAAATCTTAGCACACCGTTCGAAAAAGTGACTTGTCGTACTAGAAAAGTATTTCCGCAGAAGAGAAGTAAAATGATTGTTTCAGATCTAAAAGGAGCTCTTCCTACTTTTGCCTGTGTGTACTTTTAATACCACTTAAGCCTATTAGGTTCTTGCTTGCGACATAACGACATGAGAAGGACGTTATGTCGTCGAGTTTGCATTGTGAACATCCTAACATAATGACACTATCAAAACATAACAGCATGAACACAACAACTTAAGGAGAAAACTGATTTTTCCTTATGTCGTTATGGCTAATAGGCCCGGTCATACCTCGCATTTCTGCCGTGTCGAATTCAAATCAACGAATTAAATTCGACAGAAATTCGACGTCTGAATCGGCTGCCGCATTCTGCGCACGTTCGGCTGGTCTTGTCGCATTATCCGNTAGTCGCTTCATGGTACAGAAACCGGGATAAGCTCCGGCCTGATGGGCCACTTGGCTCGCATGCAGACTTCACCTTTTTATCTCAAATTTTTAGACCAGTAACCGTTTTTTTTTTTTTCCATGGGGTTCAAAGTATGTCTATGGGTGATTTTCTTGAATACCCCTCTCCCTACCCCTAATTCAGGTGGGTATGTCTTAAGTTTACTGCCTGGCAACCTGAGATGTCTCTTGAGTTCTGTGGGATTACACCCAAAGTTGAGCAATAATGCAGAATGAGAACTTGGATCTGTCTTTCTCTTTTTCATTGGCCTTTTGAGTAAAAAAGTCATTAAATGAATGAATGTGTTACTGCAGGACATTCTTTTCTAGGATTGGTTCATCTGAATAATGTGCAGTTCCAGAAAATATCCATACTCTCCCCACAGAAGGGATTGGAATTTCCTGGAGGTGGGGGGTCTCTGAGACCAAAGCATTTAAAGAAAGGTATTAAGCTTAATTGGAATTTCTAGAGGGGTGGGATGGGGCCCTAAGGGGGTAGGTGGTTGGGTGGACTCCTATGTGAAATTCTCATTTCCTAAACTTGAATTGCTCAGTTTCTATTCGTGAGAGCNACTTACAAGCTAGTCAGAGGCCGAACTAATTATTTGCATACTCTTATAAGCAAATAAACATTCAGTTGATTGGTTGACTGAAAAACAGATATCAGTTGAAAAATTCTAGTCTCTGAGACTGGAATAAACTGGCTCATGGTGTTGACCTTAGATGTTGCTAAGCAACCAGTTGTGTGATTATGGTGTGACAAGTTTTGAAGTACTTCAGATTGTCGCATTTTTTATTCAGGCTTTTCTTTGATTGGATGATAAAATTAAATCATAAACTTTATGAGTGCTTAATAATGCAGGTTTGTGTGCCAGAACTGGCACTTACTCCATGGCCCCGACTGCAATATTTTTTTTATTCACTAAAATTGTGCTTTGGATTTTTAGATGCACCCCCTGATGAGTACCAATTGAGTTTTAGAGGCTTTCACACAGCTGCACAGTTGGGATTCAGCTACACCACAATATGAAAAGTTCTGGATTTTGCCTTTTTGTATTATTAGTCTGTGTTCAAGTAGTAGTGTTGGTGGTTTCTTACCTATATCTTCATCAATATTCAAGATATAAAGACAAGACATTAATGAGAGATCTAAAAAGAAAAACGCATTCAGGACAAGAATCAAATTTCACTTCATCGTTGCAAATGGACAAGTCAGCGGACTTCCTTCAAAATTCAACCAGGTACTCATCGGTCAAGAATATTCGTACCCAGTGCTCTCAACTGACGTTCTCGTTCGTTTCTCACATCACTCAGCCGCATTTTGATGACAGGAACACAGATATCTTTCTTCTAGTTTTAATCACCTCTGGAGTTAGGAAGTCGTATGTGACGCGAAGAAACCGTGTCCGGGACACATGGGGTGACGAGGTCAACCACCCTGCTTCGAAAGACTGGAAACGAGTCTTTCTCTTGGGTAGGACCCAGACCGCCGAAATCCAACAAGAAGCGTCAGTCTTCAATGATATCCTAATACTGAACATGACAGATAACTACGACAATTTAGTAATCAAGGTTTTTTCGGGACTGTTATGGAGTATAATTCATATAAACCCTCGTTTTATCCTCAAAGCAGACGACGATGTCTATGTTCGTGTTCCTTACCTAATATCATGGCTGGAAAATTATGGCTCTGATAAATTGTATGGAGGTCACGTGATCCCTGACGGAGCAAGGGTAAACAGGTCAGTGACGTGGAAGAACCGGGTTTTGAAGGATTGTTTGGCTGAAGACGTGTATCCTCCATATTGCTCGGGTCCGTTCTATGTCATCTCTTCAAACATCCTTCCTTCGGTATTTGAAAGTGTGCGAAAATGGACGGCTTTTCCAGCCGAGGATGCGTATCTGGGAATCCTGGCACGAGAGAACGGAATAAAGCCGGTTTCGATAACCGGTTTTGATTTGAAAAAACTTGAAGATTACGGAACTTGTAACTGGGCTTCAGCAATAGCACTTGGACATCGCTTTGACTTGTTAAAGTTACATTATGTGGACAAGAAACTTCAGGAAACCAGCAGACTTCCCAGTGATTATTACAAATGTTTACTGGACGACTGGGCAGTCATTATCGTTCCGATTGCAATCCCAAGTATTTCGCTTTTGGTTGTGTGTGTTGTTGTTAAACTCCAATCATGTTGGAGATAAGTTAATTATATCGAATAAATCTCAAACCGAGTTCTTGCCGTATTTACTGAACGATAGCTCATTCAATACAGCAGGGCAAGGGGTTTGAGATTTTCCCGCAAAGACTGGACGTTTTTTTTTTTGGNGTCATCGGCCCGTGGGCATTACAGATAGGTTATTGACAAAGCGTGAGGTCAAGATGGTTGGATATTGGCCACGTTCTTTTTTGTGTGTTTATGGACCAAGACGGAGTCGAGGTCCATAAACACCACAAAAAGACAGCGGGTAGTCCCGAGCGGGCAAGATAGCGCCATCTTGCCCTCTCGGCCTAACCCTAATTCAATCTTGGTTCATCTCGCGCGCTCACGAAACTAACCGGCATATGACAAGAGAGAATAATGGTGCAACGGACATTGAACCTGTCCGCGTTTTAGTGTAAAATGAACTCGGAAAGGATGGAGGGATACACAGACCTGAACATAGGGACTTAAGGAGCTTTAACAAAATATAACGCAGCAAATGAAATCGGAAAGACCGGGGGCGGGTTTTCGAAGGTAAATCAAGGCAAAAATACGGCGAAACAACACGAAAGTCAAGAAAATGGTTTATTACGCTTTAGTTTCTCTTAATTACAGAATTAAAATACTCGTTGACCCGAACAACATATTTTTGCAGGCCTATAAATCGCTATTTTCAAGCAATTTCAAGCCCGTTTTGAAATTCAAACTTACGGCAAAAAGAACCGTAAATTAAATTTCGGTTTTCGTTTCTCCGTATTTTGGACCCGAAATTCGCAGAAAATTTTGTCTAACCCTTAGTGAATTTCCCACTACGAACTGAAATAGAGAGCTTTATAGTCCTTCAAAGCGCGTTAGTCTCAAAGGTTATCTGTTGTTTCGGCTATTAGACATTTGAACGAAATACTGCATACATTGCAACTTAAGCAATAGAGCACTTTTCCTTGTTTAAATCCTTCACGTGCCACCAAGACAAGAAGAGCCTAACAGGTTCTAAAAACGAAAAAAAGAAAGATTACTATGATTCTGAGACAGAATTTGGCATTGGTACGGCTTTAAAACAAAAATGGTCACCCGGAGAAGAGAGTCAACCGTTTCGCACAGTACATTATCATAAGAGCTATCTAAAATACTATATATTTCTCCTAGAGTCTCTTAGTGAGACTTATTTATACACACCGAGCCCAGGAGAGCAATTCAACCAACAAACACAAAGTTAGATGTGAGATACTGTTTGTCATTTGAGTTGGAAACACGTATTTCCACAAAAAGTCACAAAGACAGATCTGATGGACAGGTAGCTGTGAAAAAATACTTCGATACCTCTGTCAAAACAACTGTTTCACCCTTCACAATTTATCTCGGCTTGTGCTATGTTCGCAAGAGGAAGATGTTACACATAATAGAGAGAAAGGGGACACGACCTGCTCCCTCCCCCTTCCTGGTGATACTCCCTTCATGGTGGGCTATATCGCCTTATGTGCAGCACTAGAGGGTATGGTTTTTGAGTAATTTTGGCCGGTCTGAAAAAGGTTACAGTATGTTTTTCACTCTGGCTTGGCATTGGGTATTTTGATTAAAAGGAACTATTTTTCTCCGCATCCACATTGGCATATTCGTAGCCCTTTTCAAAGATTTAAACAAATGGAAGCCGTTTGTGGTTACAGCCGTGTACTTATTTTAGAGGCTTAAAATATGGTATAGAAAATCACCGATTTTCGTCAGAAATAGGTTACAGGACCTCACACCCCCACCAAAAAATTGGGGAGTACCCCCCGGACACGATTTTGTTGTCACATGAACTTGTATTCTAGAATGGCGACGTATTAGATAGGAGGTGACTATAATTAGCCTATACTATAGTTCCCATTCAAATTATTGCTACCTGAAAAACTGGACTTGAGCCATTAAGCCAGAAATGGGATTTCGTACGTTTTAAAAGGGGTGTTTCACAAAATTTCCAACGAGCACTACAGTCGCTTTGGTGAGAGAGACCCCTTCGAAGAGGATATGTGGGTCAGGAGGGGGGAAGGGGGGAGGGGGATCGGAGGGTTTGGATTCCACTGTATCATTACGACAAAGTAGAGTTTGATCAAATATCACTCACCTTTTTAGCTCTCTCGTGCTCAAACAATCGGAAACTATAACCAGGACTGTCCTTTATGACTGCTACCTCGTTCATCAGTTCGCAAAACTTCTCTTTCACTCCCGCCTCTGCCGAATATTGATAGTTGTAAGCCACACATCTGGGCACTCGAAGGCAAAGGTCCTCGCACATAACCTCTGAGAGAACGAACTGGTGCCAAATCACGTGACCTTGGAGTTGTTTGTCCCAAAAGCGATCTCTGCTGATTGGTAAATGTTCAAAATGACATTCAGGTGTTGGTGCTGGTGTAGATACGACACTTATACTAGAAGTTGCTGTTATTGTTGGTGAGACTGTTTTTGATGCGGCTGGAATTTCTGTGAAATAAAGAATAGTGGAAATCGTTGTGAGCCACATTTTATTGAACAAAATTGTCATCACTCAATGAAAACCAAAGTTGTTAACAATAACAATAACAATAATAACAACAACAATAACAATAGCAATAGCAATAGCAATTACAATGACAATTACAATTACAATAACAACAACAATAACAATAATAATAATAATAATCGAATATTACCCAGGATAACCCTTCAGCACAAAGAACTGTTATCAACGGGGTCCTGCTGACTAAGAATTAAAAACTAATAGATATATAAGAATTATTAAGATGTATAAAATAAGATACATATTAGGGCAAAAATACACCAATTTAAAAACTGTGAAAAATACCATAGAAATTACATGTAATAATCGCCCAAGGTTCTCCTAAATAAAGCTCTAGAACTGATGTTTCTTAAGCTACGTGCAAAATCCAGTCTGACCTTTGGTAGTTTTGCTGTTTTCCCATTGTTTCTTGTGTTTAAAGTGTTATGATGTAATCGTTGAAAATAGCCTTTAAATGGAAAGCATGCATATGCAGTTCCATTAAGGCAGTCAAATACAAAGCAGCACGCTCTTTTTTGTAAAAAGTTATCAATTGTTAAAAATCGAAGATCACAGTTCTGCGGACTGCGTTTCGGGGAAATGATTTAGAGGCTTCAGGTCTCAATGAAGCGGATCATGAGTTTGTGGGACTGACCATCCAAGACCAGAATAGCCGCAATACGTAAATATTGGCATAATCATCGATTGGTAAATTCGCTGGGCACTAAAAGTATCAGTGCTGGAACGGATGCGCCGTAAGAGGTTCACTCTTCCTTCTGCCTTCTTGTAAATTTTTTGAACAAACAAACAAACAAACAAACAAACAAACAAACAAAGAGGTGTTTAGTGGTTTGTTTATCTCGTTAGTTAGTAGTTAGTTAATTAGTTATTTAGCTCGTTCATTCGCTCGTTCGTTCGGTCGGTCAGTCGGTCGGTCGGTTGGACGGTTAGTCAGTCGTTCGTTGGTTCGTTCATTCGTCCGCCCGTTTGTTGGTTGGTTGGCTGATTGTTTGTTTGGTTGGTTAGTTAATTTGTTAGTTTAATTTGTGTCATTGGTTGGTTGGTTGGTGTGTGTGTGTGGGTGGGTGGGTGGGTTTGCTGGTTGGTTAGCTGGTTATTCGGGTTGCTTAATTGTACCCATGGAAGGAATCATATGTCGTCCTGACCACTGTAACAGGATCATGTAGATATCAGTCCATGAACTCAACCAAACTTCACAACCACAAGTGAGAGTCATTACATTTCTCAGTAATCATAAAAAAAATCCTTCCTTTCCAGGTGAAAATTGAACTTTTGAGTGTTTTTTTAGTTTTGTTTTGTTTTGTTTTTTCAGTTTCTCGTGTTGATAATAATTTACCTGTTGGAACAGGACAAAAGTTGCAAGTCTTTTTGCATTTGTTGACGGCATAATCTGAACTTCTGACGCACTTTCCGGTAGTCTTCCAAATCCAGCACAAATAGCCGATATCAGAACAACACGCTGAAAACATAAACGACAAGCATTAAATGTAAGAAAATAACATTCCTTTAACTTGTTACAGATTTATCTATTAACACTGGACAGTCAAGAGATTATATTCTAATTTTATCAATTGATTGAAGAGACATGCGCAGAGAACACGGTATGTCACGTGACCAATATTGAACGGAGATGTGATGTGCACGGCAGATCAGACACTTTGAGTAATTTGTTCCCCTAGCAGAACTTGATTTTGGACCCGGATATGAATCAAATGTTTGATTAAATATATGACACAAACTGTTACATGAAATTGAAAATGAAATTGTGATCGGTAGAGACGGTAAAACATCCGGCGCATCAAATCCTTCTTCCCATATATACAAGGACCGTCTCAACCGATCACAATTATCCAAAGTCATTTATAAAGCTAGTTGCTGGGACTGCAATTAATTTTACATTGGGAAAACGAAGCAAAGACTTCACGACCGGAAAACGGAACATTTCAAGGCCCTTTCGAAACGTGATCACACTTCTGCTATTGCTGATCACGTTAAAACAACTGGTCACAACATCAAATGGGAACATATTGACAGTTTGGCGTGCGGCAAAACTGACTACCATTGTAACGTTAAGGTGACCTTGTTTATTCAGGGGTTGGAGCCAACATTGAATGCCAATGTCAGCAGTGAAAAGCTTTTACTTTATTAGGAAAGCTTTCACTATGTCACTTTCCAGACAGTTTCCGTTTGAAACGTCTTAAATTCCTACTGCAGATGTTTTCTGTCTAGGTTCTAGATCCCAATTTATACAGTATAAATAGCTTTCAAAAATTTTATTGGTTATACTTTTGAAAATGTATGTTGACTAGCATACGCAACGTCAAGTTCATAAAATGCATGTTTTTAAAATGTTTGTCATCGCTGTTTGTGTTATATTTTTAATCAAGCTACGATGGCCGAAGACCAAGAGTTTATATGAATCAAATGTTCTTTACAAGAAATGGGCAGGTTCCGTTGTCGATTAGCAATATAGATGTTGAAATTTGAAAAGAAAGTGTTTCATACCTGCTAATGACACAGACAAACAGAGATTCCAGCAAAGAACTGAAAACAAACCAGTTATTATTGTTAGCAAAATCATGATCGTGTACTTTACAATATTATTTTACCGACTAGATCGTTACCATGGTCTTTCTACTGACTGACTGACTGACTGACTGACTTAACTGACTGACTGACTGACCGGCTGACTGACGTCTGCAGTCACACAATTGCTCCAAACCTGTATGAACAACTTTTATTTCACCTATCCATACATACTCTAAGTAAATAAGTACAGGTGTTTTGCATTCGCTTATCTCGTCAACCGTCACTCTCAAAACCCTTTAAGACCATTATTTTTATCTGTTTGACATTAAGATAGTGCACTGAAAAAAAGTCATTAATTCCCTAATCGTTCAGGTGAGGTGATATTCAG